GCAGGCCGGTGTATCCCTGCCTTACCCCGCCAGGGGCCCTTGTGAGGTGAAGCTCCACCCTGACTGGAGCCTGCCACAGGCAGGGGACACAGTGGAGGGAGAGGTATGGTCCCCAGCATTGCAGAAAAGTGAACTGAAACCAGTTGATGGCACAGGGCAAAGTCACCAGTATGCTGATGACTAGTGGTTCTGTCCTCACCAGCAAGTTCCTTCATTTCCTAGGTCCATTTAGTTCACCCCAAACAAAGCAGATTTGTAGTCTAGTTTGTTCAGAAAACATTTGTTACCACCGATTAGTGTACCTTTCCTTATAAGGATTTTAATGCACTGAACCTCATCACATCACAAAGATGGATGGCACTTCCCCACTACGAATTTTAGTTAAAACTCAAAAATGTGGCTTGAACAGACCTAGAACGGCTCGCATTATGAGATCCTACTACGCGTCAAGCAAAGTTCAAGGGTGTTACTCACTTAATGCCACTTAAGTCTCACAATGCCACTTTGTTTTATTATTGTCCTCATGCTATGGGCAGGAAGTCAGGGCCAGAGCTGGGATGCCAACACAAGTAGGCCAGCTCAGGGGCCCTGAACCACGCTGGCATTGGTTCTGAAGCTCCCGGGTGCCGTGGCCCTGACACAGTGCTGTGGTATGACAACAGACCAGCTGGGCGGTGATGCTTTGCTAGGACAGCCTCCGAAACCCATGCCTGGACTTGATGCTGTTACTCTGACATACTAAACCTTAACTAGGCCACGAGTGGGCTATTTTCTATCAGAGGAATTAACTAGAAGATATTTTTGCTGATCTCTTTCCCCAAGGAAAATCTGGGAGCTGTATTCATTAGCTTATATCTAATGGATTATGTGTTGGGCTGCCGACTCAAAGGTCAGAAGTTTGAATCCAACAGATGCTCTTTGGGAGACAGAGGCCGTCTGCTCTTAGGATTTACCGTCTCAGAAAACCAACAGGGGGTCGTCATGAGTTGCAACCAACCATCTGAGCAGCAGCAGGTTGGGGTTTGGGGTAGCAAGTCCTGCACACTAAAGGCAGCTAGTCCTCTGTAATCCAGGGCTAGCCATGCCTTTGTAGGGGCCTCATTCCTACCATGAGTTTTCCACACTAGGAGGGGTTGGCAAATTTCCTGGCTTTCCTTGTCAGGCTAGAGAGTCCATTTGGAGCAAATAAAGGCTCTAAACCAGTATTCCCAGAGGCTGTCCGGAAGGCAGCCAGGTAAGTCTGAGAGGGCCTTGATCAGGCTGCCTTGTGGCTAGAGGCCAGCCAGGGTATAGGATTAAGATAGGTGTTACACCACAACACCAACTTCATTTGGGGTTCCAAAAGAGGTGGCCAGGGCTGCTTTGCTGAGTTGAAGGATTTGGGAGCTCAGTCAGGCACACTTAAGTTAGATCCCTACTGGGAGAACACCATGGAAGAAACACAGATACCACTTAGTGGCCCTCTTAAAGAGTCCAAGCACAGATCCTCTTTTGTAACTCATCTCGGCGGAGCCTCATTTTGCCCAACAGTTTCCTTCCCACCTCTGCACCCCTTGTCCCAAGAAGCTATTTGACTTTTGGCGGCCAACTCTGAGGGCATGAGAACCACCTGGGAGAACACATAAAGCAGCCTGACTCTGGGTGGTTGGGTCACAATGTGCTGTAGGAAGCTGGGAGTGTGTGTGTGAAGCTGGAGTCTATTAACAGGCACCCCTGTGGATGGCCCAAGGATTCTACTTGAGTAACACCAAGTTACTCAACACTAAGGTGTTCTGGTGGCTTAGTGATAAGGAGTTGCATTGCTAACCCAAAGGTACATGGCTTGAATCCAGCAATTGCTTTGAAGGAGAAAGATGGTCAATCTTCTGTGCGATTTCTCAAAACCCACTGGAGGGTCAGCTAAGCCTCAGTTCCCACGTAATACCCAACTATAAGGAGGTTTCTGAGCTATTTTTCTGCTTGGGCCTCTGATAGTATCCAGAGCTCAGATACACCAACTGCATAGGATGTTGTTGTTGTTATGTGCCGTCGAGTTGTTTCCGACCCATAGCGACCCTATGAACAACAGCCCTAAACCCTGCTCTATCCTGCGCCAACCGCACCGCCTCTGACACACCCATCCCGATTACCCCAGTCACCGAATCAATCCATCTCATAGAGGGTCTTCCCCTCCTGCGCTGTCCCTCCACCCTCCCAAGCATGATGTCCCTCTCCAAGGACTCGTTCCTCCTGGCAACATGTCCAAAGTATGTCAGACGAAGCCCCAGAATCCTTGCCTCCAAGGAGTAGCTTGGTTTAATCCTCTCCAAGATGAATCTGTTTGTTTTCCTGGCAGTCCATGGTACATTCAGTACCCTTCTCCAGCACCACAGCTCAAAAGCATCCACTCTCCTTCTGTCCTCCCTAGTCATTGTCCAACTCTCTGATGCATAACAAGCGACTGCAAATACCATGACCTGTATCAGGCGCACTTTAGTCTCCAGAGAGACACTGTTGCTCCTGAGTACCTTTGAGAGGTCCCTAACAGCAGACTTTCCCATCGTGATACGATTTTTGATTTCCTGACTGCTGGTACCAAGAGTGTTGACTGTGGAGCCGAGCAAACTGAAGCTGTGAACACTCTCAATCTCTTCGTCATCCATCCTGACGCTGCTAATTGGTCCAGTGGCGAGAATCTTTGTCTTCTTGACGTTGAGCCTTAGTCCATACTGAAGGCTGCAGTCCTTGACCCTTCGCAGCAAGTGCATGAGGTCCTCCTCAGTTTCAGCAAGCAGGGTTGTGTCATCTGCATAACGCAGATTGTTAATAGATCTTCCACCAATCCTGATGCCACAATTCTCATAGAGCCCAGCCTCTCGGATAATCTGCTCTGCATACATGTTGTAAAGGTATGGAGACAGGATGCATCCCTGGCGTACACCCTTCCCAATTTTGAACCATGCAGTGTTACCCTGCTGTTCTGACTACTGCCTCTTGGTTCAAGTACTGCATAGGATAGGAGGGAGCAAATGCATCCTGGACCTCTCGAGTCTCAGTGTGCAGAGAGCTGGGTGTGTTCCTCTTTGTAGATTAAACTCTGATCACATGCTGTATGTAGATAATGACAGTTGGCTCCTGAGCATTCACTTGGCCCTGAGGTCAAGAACATTCTAAGTATTAACTCACTTAATTCTTCCATCTAGCCTCTGAACTTGGTACTATTACTTGCCTCACTTATAGATGGGGACACAGAGGCTAAGGAAGTAACTTGCCTGAGATAGCCAACTAGGAAATGGCAATGGACAGGATTCTGAAACAAGCAGTCTGAATTCAGAGCCCAACCATCAAACACTGTACTCCATTATTCAAAGAATTCTGCATCCTAGTTCTAGTTTGGGGTCCCCTCAACTCCCATCCTATCCCCACCTCTTCTTTCCCAGCTAAGAGGGCAGTTCTTTTTAGTTAATTCTTTTCCGAGGTTGTACCTATTAATACAGTAGAATCAGCATATTAAGAATGCTTAAAAACAGGGCCATTTTAAATACATTTGCACTTGGGCAATTGTAAAGGTACGAAATCAGTAAGCTTACCCCCCTCCAAATGACCAAGTACATGGAGTCACGATGAGTCTTGGTTGACATGATGGTACCTAAGCACCACCACCACTGTGGAAAAGAATATTAGCTTTCAACAACACAACCCCTCTGCGAAGCCACTCACTGGCAGTGACTAAGCAAAGCCAGTGACTAAGCAAAGCCAAAGTTATCTCTGCTTGTCAATCAGGAGATTGTTCAGAAGACAATGACACAAACCAACCACGGAGTAACATTCTAGGCTACTGCCAAACTTCTAGGGTCCTGGGGCCTACAGATACTCACTTCCCAGGAACATGCACCCAAATCAGGGAACTTGGCTGTGACATTCACCTGTCCTCTTTAGCCCAAGATCTCCTGCCCCATTTCTGGTGACCAGCATCCCCTCAACATGCCATTCAGATGGTTCAGATTTTCTAAGCAGAACCAGCAGGGCTTCTGCTGAGTGGCTTGCTTCATGTCCTCTGAATGCCTGCTTCATACTCTCTTCATCAGCATGGTTAATTCCACCTTGATGGAACCCACTGTGGGTAACTTACGTTTTCTTTAATGAACTTGTAATTAAGGCCAGACAATTTAAGGGCAGTGGAAAAGAAAAAGACAATCTACTAACATTGATCCTTTCTTTTCAATTTTGTTCTTACTCTAGTCCTTCCTTTGTAAAGGACTTTTAAAAATTTCCCCAAGAGTAATTTTCTTAATGTAATCATAGGTGTTTTTCCTTCTTCCTTTGTTATAAATTGTCTATTGTAGAAACTTCTGTCCACCACTCTTAATCAAAAAGAAGTAGGATGGATCTCACACCCAACAGAGTCTGGGCACTTTCTGTCATTCTGAAGATGGTGACAAGTGTAAAACTGACTTCATTCTTTGGTCCAGAACAGGGAGTGACTGTCAAGTCACTTTGGAACACCAAAGCTGAGCTGTGTTCTGGCAATAAATTCTCTTCCTGCCAAGGTCAAACAAGTTCAGTCTGGTTGAATCCTGTGGAAGAGTGAACTGAACACCTCTGTGGCTTCTTAACATTCAGCCCTTGGCAGTTCTGTCTGCTAACCTACTGGATCTCTTTGGAACCTGAATCACCCAGAGGACCATCACTTCTCAAGCGCTCATACCAGAAAGACCGAACTCACTGTTCTTGGCTACTACTTCCCCATAGCTCATCTGTTCAGCAGGAACCAGATCTAGGAATATTTTCATGGATAACATAACCTACCCCTGTTAGAACCTCAGAAGCTTCCATGCAATGATCAAGGGTATCCCATCCCCTTAGCTGAGGTTTCTACCCACACCTTTAGCTGAGCTGAACCCTCAAAACTAAAAGGAAACAGCTTTGCCTTGTGGGTGTACCCAGATCTGTAAGGCCAGCTAAGTGGCCTCTTGACTCCATCCTGGCCTTTGCCAGGGCAAGGAAATACTACCACCACCAAGAAGGATAAAATAAGTTTTTATTTATAGTCTTATAGTAAAGGGGGAAGCCTTAACTTGCAAGACAATTCTTCTGCAGTATGTACAACATACTTTTTATTTCCATGGAATGGAATCAAACACAGACTGAGACTACAGAGTATACACTAGAAATCAGCGAATGCCAGGAACGGAGTAGGAAAAAGACAAAGAAATGAGGCCTAAACACTCAAAACCCTTCACTGGGATCTGTCGACCACAGCCAGAACCAGGGCTGGATCACAAAAAGGAGACAGGTTCCCGGACGGAAGGAAGGGGGCGAGGAGAGGAAGGGTCTGCACCGCTGTGCGCGGGTTTAGTACCAGGTAAATTGCTCTTGGTATTTACATACAAAATCAGTTGGCTCTATTTCTTAGAAATGCACACGGGAAGTATGATTTGATCATTACTTTATGAATCTGTTGCTTTGCAATACCAACATCATCAGAAATAGGGCTAATTCACTCAGATTCAAATTTCAGAAGCAGGAAATAAATATCAAAACATTATCACTGGCCCTCAATATAAAATTTCTACCCCCGTCCTAGACTCCCCCTCCCTGTTCCACCCAACAATAAAGCCACCCACTACTACCAACTCCCTGGTGACTAACTTCACTACTGCTTTCTCCCAAACGTACCAGAGGGACCTGTGGCCCTCTGCACCGCCACCAACACAAGCTCAGGACAGCTGCTGAGAGAAGCAGGAGTGAAACATGCCCAAGACAGCGCAGCAAATCTGGCCCCACTTTTCTATGACAAATGTCAAGGATCTGGTCTTTCAGTAAGAGTGATAAATAGCTTTTTAAGAAAGAAAAACAAAATACTTAAAAAAAAAAAAAAGGGTGGGGTGACAGGGATAATTCTGATTATTCCAAACTCATCATCTTCTCAATGTAGAGCAGTTCACAGATTCACAAAGTCTATCAAACAGAGGTGAAGGCAGACAGGAAGGAGAGGCCTGTGAGGGGAAGAAGTCCTCCAGGCGGCGGTGCCCGGCAGGGCTGGGGGAGCTGGTGGGGTGGTTAGGACACCATGTGCTCAGAGGTCCGGTTGGCCGTCTGTCCTCCACAGAAAAAGCTGCCAAGTTGGGGTGTTTTGGTTTAAAAATTCCTGGTGGGAACAGGGAATCCCTGAAGGGGAAAAAAAAAAACGTATTCTTTAAAAAAAAAAGGTACTGGAAATAGAGGAGAACGAGAGCTGTTGTCCAAGAGCTTCTATGTAAAAATAAAAATTAAAAAAAAAATAATAAGAAAAATAAAGAGTCTCTTAAAGGGTTCTAACGATGAACTGAAGGAGGATGAGACGACGGAGGAGACAGACAGTTTTTATTGCTGGCCTGCCCCGGTTAGCTTAGCTGGCCTCCATCCGGAGTTTCTTCCTGCTTTGGGGCTCTTCGGGCTCTGACTCTGAGCTGGAGTCCGAGCCCCCATCGAAGGCAGAGATGGTGCTGCCCTTGGCGTTGGTGTAGAGGCTGTTGTCTGAGGAGGGGTAGTTGGTCTGCAGTTGGGCACTCGACCTCGCCTTCTCCAGTGCACGGACTGAAAGGCAACCAAAGGAGAGTGTTACAGTCTTCTGGAGACCAAGGAGTTACCAAGTTTCAGACTCAGGGTCCAGCCTGTTCTTCCTAAGAGCTTGTTGGCCCCTGAGGCTCAGGTTGGCTCAGAAGGAACTCCCTCCTGCTGGCTGTTCCACTCGTTCACGTCACTTCCCTCCCTTTGCCCAGCCACGCACTGGGGCCCAGTGGACACGGTCAGCCACTCTGCAATCACATCCAACCCTAAAGAGAAGGCTTGTGACGTTACTGCCTGCCATGGAAGCCCAGTGTGGAGACAGGAGCAGAGCTTTCTGTGGGATCCAACAGTGTAACAACAGAGGAGAAACTACCTGGCAGTGCCAGGCTCCAAAAGGTGCAAAGGTCACACATAACCACTCTGATTACATCGTCCACAACAGCAAAGAAAGGTGGCTTAAGATGGTACCATCCAAAGAAAAATGCTGGCTTAGTTCTCATGTACAAGATCCACTTGGAATGACAAGCTGGACACTTGGAAGCAAGTCACCAATACACACAGACTTCTTGGGTTCTTTGAATACAGCCCCTACATGCTGGCTGTTCAGCCCAGTAACCAACCCGCTGACACCTCCCACTGCCCATCCCACTGTTCGGCTCATCCTGAGCCTGGATAGTCAACCCATTTATTTTATCTGAGGTGTTCTATCCCAGGTGGTTACTTGCATTTCCTTTTACTTGCATCTTCCATGAGGGAGGAAGAGAAGTGAATTCCCCAGGAACAAAGAACTTGATCAGCTCTCGCTTTCCCCTGTGGTTATAGGAAAAGGTGGGTGTGAGCATTTGAGAACAGCATGGGCCTGGCCCATAGGCTGCCCCGATTGGACTACCAATGACAAAAGGGAGGGCTCACTGTCCCTGACCATCTGGAGTCGCTGGTACTTACACAGCACATTCCACTCCAGGACCTCAAAGCTCTTTTCTGCACCTGATGCCAAGTGTGACCCCCCTACCTGCAGGCAAAGAACCTGAACCCCAAGAAGGCGAGAAATTGGGTCAGAAAAGATACAAGTCTCCAGATGTCCATCTCCCTAGACTCCACTGACTCCTTGGCAGCTCAGGTCCTTCCTCAGGATGGCTCTAAGCTTAACTATTCAGGCTTCAAGAAGCAGGGTCAAGGCTGCTTCTGCGCGCATGCTCCGTAACTGGCTCTGACTCTGCAGGCCCAGTATAAAAGTAGGGCCAGCTGCCCCACAAGCTTGGGCACTTACCTTGCTGCTCCAGAAGAGCATTCTGCCGCTTGAGGTCATCAATATCTTGCTGGTGTGTGTGGTTTTTCCTTCGCATATACTGAATATACTCTGTGGCTTTGTCTAGGATTTGGGCCCGGGATGCCTGTTGCAATAGGAGAAAAAGCAAATGGGAAAAAATAAAGACCTAGTCCAAGAAGTGAGGGAACTATACCTTCTGCAGCACCAGCAAGAAAAGTCCTGGGGTGAGAAGGTAAGGAGGAACAAAGCTGAGAAAATGAAAAGTGCGTGCTATGGAGAACCTTCTTTATACCAGATGCTGCGCCTGGTGTTGCACGTATCTTACCTCACTAGTATTCTCAGAAAGTAGTTCCTTGCGGCAGAAAACTGACGTTCTGAGGGGCTTGCTGGCTTCTTAGCAGAAGCTGGATCTGACTCTGAACTTTTATTTCTCCCATGCACTTTGGGTTTTTCGGTTGCTTTAAATACCTCAGCCTGGGCTATGTCTGAAAACATTAGGTGCACTTGTTCCACATTACAGCCTGACATTAGGCAGCTGGTCCAGAAAGCAAGAATAAGATCTCGGATGGAGCTGCCATGGGATAAGAGTGGGTACGAAGGTTTTCATCAAGGTTCTAGAGTTCAAATGTTCACATTGCTGTCAACTATTTCCAAGTGAGTGATGCTGCTGTGTCACTATGTTTCAGCCTTTCTGGTTCAAGAGACTTGTGAAATTTGTTGGTACTTTATGTCAACACAGAAGGGCATGAGATTGGGCCATTTCAGGAAGTAGCCACACCTTTACCATGGCTGTGAGCAGCCTGGCCACTGCTGTGAGAGGAACAAGTTCATTAACCAGCAAACAGATGTCAGGCTATTGTGCTCCTAGAAGTCAAATCAAATTTGTCCAAGAGTCCTTTCAAGTTACAAACATGACTAAACACCTTTGCTAGGCTGCTACACTGTAGAGTGGTATGAAGCCAAAAGAATTGAAACCCAAAGTAGGGTTGTCTAGTAGCTAAAATATGGTACTCATGCCACTGAAGCTCCTCAGTGGGTAAGGAAGCATCTGACCCAGCGTAGGGAAGTGCTTAACAATTTTCTATTGCCACCTCAGTGGGTCCCACATGACCAGAACAGAGCAGCAGCAAAGCAAAGCCAACATTCAAACTTAGCACAACTAGCTCCATTTTTATCAAATCCTGACAATCTCAGTCTCCAGACCAAAGGTTTAGTTTGTAATCAGAGAGGTTTGCTAGGCCTGAATTTATTTATCAGTTCTTTCAAGTACTACATTTACAGCTTCTTCTAAACCACCCTTTAAGGAATGTCCTTAAAAGGAAATGGTTAATATTCAGTCAACCTATTTTTTCCCCCTCTGGTATGAAATATGCTGTACAAGGTACCAGGAAGACACTGTGAGGAAACAAGGTATATTAGTTATGGTTTCTTTTGACAGAAGTTTACCATCCAGTTGAAGTACGTACGTGTGTGTGTATACACACACACAAGCGTGCACGTGTGCACGCGAATTGTACAGATGGAGAAGTCTTGGGAAAGACAGCTTCTGGCCAAGGGGATTATCTACTTTGTGCCAGGCACTAGCGTGAGCTCTGTCCACAACCATTCCCACCTAAATGGTGAGCCTTGCATTAGACCAACATGGACTGTTTTGGAAAGGGTTACCCTGGACACTGGCAAGGTTGTGAAGATGGGAAAAAGCCAGATGCATTTCCTTTGTTAAGTAGGCTAGCTGGTGCAAGAGGAATGAGAGTAACTAGCAACCGTGGGCTTTTAAATCTGGTTGCAAGGTCACTGGAGAGGTTATTCCCAAAGGGCCTTACTAGGGTCTAATTAGTAGACCCTTAAATGATAACATAAGGCACAAATTAAAAGTAACTAAAGTATGTTTTTGTTCTGAACACAAGAAAAAAACGATGACAATTACAGGTAGCAGGGGGTAACAGTGGCAAGGAAGAGCATGGGAATTAGGTGACAGTGGGTCGTGCAGTCTAGGCTGTTGTTAATAGGCTCTGTGACTGCACACATATCTCTTCCTGGTCATTCCTTACCTGACAAGGAATTCTCCAAGACTCTACCCTAGCCTTTCAAACTCTACCCTCTCCACCACTGATGTAACAGCTCTATTTACTTATACTCCCAGTCTTTCTTTAAATTTGCCAATTTAAAGGTACTTTTCAACTAAGACTTCTCAGACCAGAACATTCTTTAACTACTTATGTACATGTGGGATAGAGAAAATCGAAAACATCTCTGACCCCAGGACACTTGCAAGTGTTCAGTGAGACCTTCTTATTAAAGACTGGACTGAGTAGCTGCCCTGATGCTACCCATTTTCCCCTTTATAGACAGGACTATGAAATCAGGATGAAGAAGTGAAAAGTGAGCAGAAAACCCGGGAAAACAAACCAGAAGCAGGATCCTGTGAATGATGGCAGTTTCCACATCAGGGTTGTCTTCAGATAAAGAGAAAATTCACAGATGTTCAGAACAGAGTGGCTTAGGAACAAGAGGGCCCAGAGGAGGCTTTAATCCAGCCTCGTACGAAACCTCCTTAATGCTGAGCACCGCCCTTCCTTCACTTTCACTGACAGATGTGCCCCACTCCATCCAGGTGCCACTCATAGGCTCTTTTCACCCCTTAGCAAGCCAAAGGAATGGTTCAGTTAGCCTTATTTTTGCCTTTCTGAGGACATTCAACAAAAATGAAAAATTGAGTAAGAGAAAATTTTAAGCACAAAATAGAGAATTTCTCCAAATGTCCATATACATCTTGGCACAGGGAAGAAAATGTTACTCACCTAAAATTCCACCCTTCCCTTCTGTCAAACCCACAGGTGACCAGTGACAAGGTTAAAGTGCAAGAAGGCCCTTCCTTGCTTTTATGAGATTGTGATATGGGGACAGTAAACATGAAGTCAGGAAGAAATGCTGGTATTTATGACATGAACTACGAAGGGCTCTGAGCTTTCAGTTTCTGTTTTCCCTCTCAGTCAGCTGAATCCACTGTATCTACCATACAAGTGTGAATAAGCTTGGAATTGGTAAATCAGTGGGTTCACAATCAACTACTGCCTCTGGTATGGAAACAGGTTTTCCTTTGGTAAATTATACAATTAATCCCCTACTGCCACTGAAATAATTCCAATTAACAGTGACCATTCCTTGGGCTTCTGAGACTATAAACCCTTTCATGTGGATATGGGACTGCCTATCATTCTCTTGAGAAGTGGTTAGGGGTTTCAAACCACTGACCCTCTGGTTAGTATTCTAACACATTGCAAGTTTCCAATTCTGAATTTGTCTTCTAAGCATAAATGAGCCTCTTCAGAGCTTTTGCTATAGCCCTGAGGCAAAATGGACTGGGGTTCAGATGATTAGAAATTGGTGTAGGTTAATACAAACTGGCTTCTCAGCTCTCTTCTTCATCTCTCGGAGTGGCACGTAAGGATGCTGTGTAGCCTTGTTAGCCTTTGCTTTAAAGCCATGGTTGCAAACAGCAATACAAAGGATTATGATGAGGAGGATGACAATGACAGCAGCCAACACTTATTGAGTACGTACTAAGTGCCAAGTATCAAGTATCCTCACATAACTCTTAAATGTATTATTTTTGTTGCTAGGTGCCATCAAGTTGACTATAACTCATGGTGACCCGATGAATAACACATCTGAACTTATTTCCCCTATTTTTGGAGTAAGAAAACCATTAACATGTCCAATGTGACATAACTTGCACGAAGTAAAGTCAGATTTTATTTTGGGCACTCCGGTTCCAAAACCTATGTGCTTAGCACAATGCAGTATCACCTGCTATTTACTTGCCCATGTCCCTGGCACACTGCCTACTATCTCATTTGATCTAACACTCTCTTAGGGCAGGTTATCACCACCCCCTGACTTTACAGGTAAAGATGCTCGGAGAAGTGGTCTAAGACTACCGTGGCAGTAGGAGGATTAGAAAGATTCAAATGGAAGCAGGCCTTACATGAGCCCCCAAATCCATCAACTTCACTGCCTACCTACTGTCCCCCACACAGTGACACAAAGGATGGACACTGTCTCTTACTGTTTCAATCTTCTCTGAGCAGTGAGTAGTCCTTTCTACCAGGTGTCGTTTCTTATAGATGACTGTTGCTGTCAACAATATTTCCTCAGAGTAACCCCATCCTCCTCAGGTACCTTTTACAGAAATTTTGGATCAGAGTCTGCTCCTATGCACTGGAGCAAAAATCTACCACATATTTCAATGAAAGACTCTTAAGAGTCTGACTCCAACAAGAAGCTTATGATTCTTGAAGCAGTTCACACTAATGTTCAGGATAAAGTTCAAGGTTACTAAATCTCATTTATAGGAGTGGGTCTCAAAAAAAAAATAAATAAAATATATATGGCAAGAATTCCATTTCTGGTTATAAATCTTATTACAGTAACATGTATTTGTCTATTAACTCAAGCTGTTTAAAAAGTGCGTGCACAGAGGTGAGGAAGAGAACATTCTAGACTGTTAACCTCAAAAATATCAGAAGGAACCTGTTATTCCCCAGGGTCCTGATGCTAACTTCAGAAACAATGATAATAGTGTCTTACCCCAGAACCACATTCTGCTGAGCTGCTATTCCAGATGCCTTGTTTCCTTAAGAACCAAAATGCCACGTCTTGAGGGATGAATAAAAGCAACTCCCTGACTCACCTTCCGACATCCACTTCAAGATGCACTAAAACATTCTTTTTAAAATCTGCACAAGTGTTCATACATACTAGGATAAAGACTAGGGCAAAGCTAAGGAGACTTGCTGGTGTGATGGTGCCTGGCTGCTAACCAACAGGTCGGTGGTTTCAATCCATCAGCCACACTGCAGGACAAAGATGTGGCAGCCTGCATTCATCTAAATTAGCTGCGGAAATTCTACCCTGTCCTACAGGGTCACCATGTGTCAGAAAAGGATTTCATGGCAGTGGGTTTAGTTTTAGTTAAGACAAAACTAAGCAAACAGCCCCAGTGGTACAAGGTAAGTGTCCTGCTACTAATCTAAAAGGAAGACCTTGTGGCCTAGTCGTGAAGAGTTGTACTGCCAACCCACCAGCTGCTCTGAGGGAGAAAGATGGGCAATTGCTCCTCTT